TATATATATATATATAATAAATTAATATTAAGATAAGATATTTAAAAATATAAATATATTAGTTGCTACTTATTTAGTATTAAAGTTCCATGTACAGAATTATTTATATTAATATAAGATATATAAAAATTATAAATATGATTTTATTTTTTTAAGTTAATGAATTTAAATATATTTTGTTTATAGTAATAATTTTTTATATAATTATTTTATAATTTGAGCAATAACGATTCGAAAACGATCGAACACTTGTCTGTTCGTGTTTGGTTCGTTTATAAATCGAACTAAAAAACATTGTTGATGTTCGTCTCGTTATCAAACGAATTGAACACGAACTCTCTGGCTAGCCGAACACAAACTGTTCGCGAACGATGAACCTTTTTGATAGCCCTAGCAGGTATTATCGCCCAGCTCTCCATTATCAAATCTAGTTACCTCATATCCCCCATTTCCTTTTCTATTACTCCTATTGTACTCCATGTTTTTTTTATTTCTTTCTTTAGTGTTTCTTTCTTATTCTAATCATTATCAAATCTAGTTACTAATCTTTATTATATCTAGGTGTGGTGTTTGCTTAGATTTGGTAGTTGTTAATTTGTTTCTGAATTCAGAGACCGCCACGAACATTTTTCTTTTTTAGGGTTGTATTCGACGACATCAATTGTAACTCCTATGATATGGTGATCATCTCCATTATTTCCGGCGCCCACCTGCAACTCTAGAAGACTACAACTGCCCTTCCCTCTACTCCAAGTGACTGCAGCGGCCTGTCTATGACTTCAGAAGATTGCATGCCTCTTTCTCGCAACTCCCGATGACCTCAGCGGCTTGTCTGCAACTCCAAAAGACCGCAGACCTCCTTCCAGCGACTCTAGGTGACTGAAGAGGCCTGTTTGCGACTCCAAACTACCACAAATCCATTCCACACAACTCTAGGGCGCTGCAGATCCCAGTCTTCAATTCCCAAAGGTCGCTGACTCCCTCCAGCCACCATCTTCCCTCTCCAGCACCTCCCGATGGCCCGTCCAACTCCTCTCAGTAGTCTGTCTGCTCCTCCTAACAACCCTCTATCTCGCTGCCCACCTTCCAGCAGTCTGTCCAGCCCTTCCTAGCAGCCCACTGGTCACCTACAGTAGTACCCTCCACCCACACCTGTGATTCTCTTCGATACCGCCGCTTGCCCCCTCTTCCAATTGCCGACCAACATCATCGGTGTCCCCGAAATTCCTTCGTTATTGCTAGTCTTCTTTTTGTTATTGTTCAGTCTTGAATGTATCCAATTTATTTTTGTGTAGTATAAATTTATTTTCGTTGGCTTGGGTTAACTTCAATATCAAAAGGTGTTGTCTAGAAGGTTAAGGCAGCCATGCGGTTCTCACATGCAAAGGACGTAGGAAGGCCGCTTGTGGTTGTACTGTGTTGAGCCGCGATCAAAGGAGTCAAAGGAGAAGAATATTGTGCGGTCGATTAAAGGAAGACGAGAGGAAGGAGTTCTCATGCGTGTAAGGAGGTGGAATCACATGCAAAGGGGAAGAATAAATGTTTTTCCCGTGGATTAGGGCTCGACTGAGATAAAGGTAAGATTAAATAATATAAAATTGATTTATATATATGTGCATGTTATGTTAATATAATATTTTATTAAATTAGTATTCTTCGTTTAGGATTTTAGATTGGAGGGAAATATAAAGATGCAGAGTGTGCGAGTTAGAGAAGTAAAATTGACCCGAGCAAACTTTGGTAAAGAAAGTTTGAGTTTATATTATAATTTAATTAATGAATTTTAAAAGCAAAAAAAAAAGTTAATTAGGATTTCATAAAGTAAAATGATGAAAATTAATATTTAAATATTGTAAAGTTAATAATTAATTAAAATAATATAAATGAATTAAATTTTAGTAATATGAATATCATTTTTATTATATACGTCAATTTTAGAAGACTTGAGATCAAGGCAAATTTATGAACGAATAAATCGTCATCGAGATGAGTGCTCTTTCGCGTAAATTTACGGTAGTGCTTTGTTTATTTTATGCATCAAATTTAGAAGAGTTGAGATTAAGACAAATTTAAGAAGAAATAAATCGTCATCGAGGTAAGTGCTCTTTTTCTTAAATTTATAGTAATACTTTGTTTCATTTCAATCAATTGCTTTAATAGCTATTGATATCTATAAATTCATGTATTAGTTTATCTTAATTTGTAATCTCTCATTTTTATCTGTCATATCTGAATGTTAGTTCTCCTTATAGTAAAAATTATATCATGTTATGATTGATATTGAATATATTATTTATATAAATATATGTTTGTATGTGTATGCTTGACTATGATAGAGTCATCTTTTATGGTAGTAACGAAAGAGTGCTAAGGTACGCATTCACATTAATTTTAAAAAATATTAATATTAAACTACTTTAATTAGTATAATTTTTAGCATATGTATGTATGTATGTATGTATGTATATTGTAATGTTAATATAATATTTTATTAAATTATGACTCTTGATTTAGAATTTTATATTGGAGGGGAATATAAGGATGCGAAGTGTGCAAGTTAGAGGAGGGGGAAAATTGACCCGAGCAAAGTTTGCTAAAGAAAGTTTGGGTTTATATTATAATTTAATTAATGAATTTTAATGGCAAAATAAAGTTATTTAGGATTTCATAAAGTAAAATGATGGAAATCACTGCTTAAATAATGTAAAGTTAATAATTAATTAAAATAATACAAATAAATTAAATTTTAGTAATATGAATATCATATTTATTATAGGCATTAATTTTATACGAGTTGAGATCAAGACAAATCCAAAAACAAATAAATCTTGATCAAGGTGAGTGCTCTTACTCTTAAATTTACATAGTACTTTGTTTCTTCTATGCATCAAATTTAAAAGAGTTGAGATCAAGACAAATTCAAGAATAAATAAATGTCATTGAGGCGAGTGCCCTTATTCTTAAATTTATAGCAGTGCTTTGTTTCTTCGCAAGCAATTCAATTAATAGATATTGATATCTATAAATTCATGTATTAATTTATATTAATTTATAGCCTCTCATTTTTATCTGTCATATTTGAATGTTATGTCTCTTTATAGTAAAAGTTATACCATCTTATTTAAAGATACATAATATTATATTGTGTCATAAGATAAACATATGAATGATATTGAATATATTATTTATATAAATATATGATTGTATGTGTATGCTTAACTATTTGGAGTCACTTTTTATGTTACTAATGGAAGAATATTAAGGTAGGTACTCATTCACGTTAATATAAAAAAATATTAATATTGAACAACCTTAATTAGTATAAATTTTAGCATATGCATGCATGTATGTATGTATATAGTAATGTTAATATAATATTTTATTAAATTAAGACTCTTCGTTTAGAATTTTAGATTGGAGGGGAATATAAGGATGCAAAGCATGCGAGCTAGAGGAGTAAGATTGTTCTGAGCAAACTTTGGTAAGGAAAGTTTGAGTTTATATTATAATTTAATTAATTAGGATTTCATAAAGTAAAATGATGGAAATTAATACTTAAATAATGTAAAGTTAATAATTAATTAAAATAACAAAAATAAATTAAATTTTAGTAATATGAATACCATGTTTATTATAGACATTAATTTTAGCTGAGTTGAGATTAAGACAAATCCAAGGATAAATAAATCATCATTGAGGTGAGTGCTCTTACTTTTAAATTTATAGTAGTACTTTGTTTCTTCTCAATCAATTGCATTAATAGTTTATCTTAATTTATTTGTTTATCTTAATTTATTATTTCTCATTTTTATTTGTCATATCTGAATGTTAGGTCTCTTATAGTAAAAATTGCATCATGTTATTTAAATATACATATATTATATTGTATATCATAATATAAGCATATAAATGAGATTGAATATGTTCTTTATAAAAATATATGCTTATATGTGTATACTTGACTATGATTGAGTTCACTTTTTATGGTAATAGGGGAAGAACGCTAAGTCATTCGTGCACGTTAATATCAACAAATATTAATATTGAACTACGGTGCTCCTGTGACGGTTATATATATATAGAATGATATAAATTTGCTATTAATATAGTAAAACCCATTGAATAGTATGAAATATCGAAAGTGATCATATTCTTAAACTATCAAATCATTATAGTTCTACTATTGATATAGTAAAATCCATTGAATACTATGAAATATCGTAAATGATCATATTCTTAAATTATCTAATATTTTATACTGATTTATTTAAAGCTTAATTAATATGGATATTGGATTTTTTTTCTTGTATTACTATATTTTAAGAGTGATTATTTATTGGTTTTGATTAGCTTACTGTGTTTTAAACTAACTTTTCACGTGTAACTAATTAATTAAAAGATAAACAACAGAAAAAAAAAAAATTTGTAAAAGACGCGGACAACCTGTAATGAGGTAAATTTAATTGTACTACTTTAATTTAATTTATTTTTTGACTCTTTCATTCGATAAATGCTAGATGATTATAAGAAAATTTAATTCCCACCGTGCGATCATCTGTACTCGCCTTGGCTACTTTCAACCCTCGGGCTGGTTCGTGACAAAAAATATGTGCATAATTATAATTATATGCAGAGTCCTGGCGGGGTGTTTCACAGATTATTAAAGTGTTACTTTTGAATCATTTATTTATTTATTGGGGCATTTACATACATACCAATCGATTCCAATATATTTGTATAGCTAATACCTAGAGTTTGCCTTTTACATTTATACCATTCAAATCTTTGATATCTCATCAAAAGTACCACTATTCTAACTTTTAAAAAGCATGTCTAGGTATGGTGACGTATATGTAAAAATTGAAGTTTAGTTGTTAATATGTAAATACATAAGAATTGAGTGGTATGTATGTGAATCTTCCTTATTTATTTTTGGTAAAATAGTTTACCAAATCACACTTGTAATATACGTGGGATTATAGCTCAAGATTTGGTAACTTCTATGTTTCAACTAAACTTGCTGGCACCCAAAACCCTTGAATCATCCTTCATCCTTTTTCTCTCCAGTGCACACTTTTGTGGCCATTGATCCCTAAAATTGTTGCCCTTCTATTACTTTCTTTTACACGGAACTGCTTAATTGGAAGCAATGGGGTGTTTTGTAATTATCTTGCAAATTCTACTTGCTTATAAGTAATCAGGAAACCGTGTGGTTTTTTGGTTTATTGAAAAAACATTATTTGTCATTCCTTGAATTTTTTGAATCTTCCCTTCATACATGTTTGCCGTCTTCAGTTCAGTTGAGCGTTTGATGACTGCAAATAAAATTAACGCCATGTTTTATGAGAGTTCTCGCCCTGCTGCATGAGAAAATTGATTTCTTGCACCATTTCATTGTAGGCGAAGCTGCGGAGTTGTTCATGGTGGATAAGATATTTCATCCAAACAGGCTTGGAAGAGAACCAGACAGCTTCTAAGAAGTTTGAGCAGGCTGCAAACAAGAGGTCATATCGCCCGAACTGCCAACTTTTTCACCTTAATTCTCACAGTTGATTAAGCTCTTTCTTGTTGACTTCTGTGCTTTTGTCTGTTAACTAGTTTTATATAATGCAAAGTGTAAGTTTTAAGCTCGCAGAAATTGGATTATTATGTAAAAGCCAACTCTTACTGTTTAATTATCTTCTAGTTTGGTTGATTTGATCTCTTAATTTATTGAAGACATTGTTCTGACTCTCTTTGTGATTAGTTTTTTAAGTCGTATAACTTCAGATTTGTACATTGCAAGTAGTAACTGTTTGCACATGTTCTTTTGATTTATTTGCAATAGATGTTTTACTGTAATGTATCGGGAGTTTTTTATTTAAATTGGGTAAATGTTATTATGTCATACTGAGGCAATCTAACATCGGCCAAATTAATGGGGTTTTTTAGTTAATTTGCATTTTTCATGTATAAAACTGTAATGAGTAGATATGAATCATATGGTATTAAGTTTTGAAAACAATTGCAGGAAAAACTGAGTCTTCAAATTTACTGTATTCAGTTTTCAGTTTTATCTTAGGAGTATAGTTTCAAAGAGTAATCATATGTGGCTATTTTAATTGCAGTGTCAATTTAATTTTTAGATTTTGTTTTTTTACGAGCTGAAATACTCCTCTTATGGTCCGTTTGGGGCAGCTTATAAGTATGGGCGGCATTTCGCCGGCTTATCCGTTGTTTTACACAAAAAGCAGGCC